AGTCGACGGGCATGTCGTGCCTGTTCTGCAGATGTTCTGGATTTGGGTTCCAAGACCAGGGAGGGCTTGAGAAGAAAATCCAGCAAAAGACCAGTGAGAACGGTCATGTTTTCTGGATTTGCAGAAAGACTGTTCTGCTATTTGTTGGTCCCACCACGAGATGCAGACCCTTGAGATGTGGGATGAGAGGCTCTCAGGTCGCCAGCGGGTTTCGACTCTCCGTTGTCCTCGTGCGCAGTTCTGTTACTTTTCCAAAGAGAGAGAGAGAGAGAGTCGGCCTGGAGTAGATATAATATGGGAAACTCATTGAAAATCCAATTTTAAAAAAACACAGGAAACTGCCAGGACCATCCTGTTTGGACTACCCCACACTATGACCCGGGATTTGCATTGGACGCCCATTGGATGGCTCATATTCCATCTACCGCAGGATGATCTTCTAGCGTCACCGGGAACCCGGCGGACACCGGAACCGGGCAGGTTGGGTGATGGATTTGGCCACGGTGCCTGGAGCTTCCCATGACTACTACTTCGTGAAAAACTAACATGGACCCTGAAAACCACTGGTTTGATGAAAACAGTCTTTCAGGGTGCCATTCTCAGTTTCCATGTGAGTAATTATTCTGGAGTGTACCCCTGGCAGCCACCACTTCTCAGACTAACCTACCGCCCCAGCGGTTCGACTTACGGTACCGCATCCCATCGCAGCCGGCCCTGGCCACCCTCTTTCTCCATACAGGAGTCACAGGAGATGAGAAAAGTGCCGAAGATGCTTCCCAGAAAGAGGTGTGCTCAGGTGCGGGACATGTTTGGAGAGAGTTGAGCAACGGCATGTTGTGTATTACTGTGTATCACAGGGTTACTTCTATTTAAAGGCTTACGCCTGACAGCCGGGCGCCGGCCGATGCAGGAGAGGGAGGAAGGACATGGGGGGAGTAGGGGGGCGGATATCAGACACACACACATGTAGACATATATGTATAGGATGGATTATTATATTGTTGTTGTTGTTGTTGTTGCTGTTGCTGTTGCTGTTGCTGTTGCTGCTGCTGCTGGTGGTGTTGTTGTTGTTGTTGTTGTTGTTGTTGTTGTTGTTGTTGTTGTTGTTCTTGCTCTTGCTCTTGCTCTTGCTCTTGTTCTTGCGGTGGTGGTTGTGGTTGTGGTCTTGGGACCAGGTCGAACCCATCTTTGGTCTATGTGGGGCGGTCTTGGGGTGATGTTGATCTATGTTGGGCCATCCAGTGCCTATGTTGGCCCACCTTGGGCCCATGTTGGCACAGCTAGGGCCTATCTTGGGCCTATACCCATGCTGAGCCGTCTTGGGCCTATGTTGGCCCATCTTGGGCGATGAAATCCATGCGCGGCCGAAGGGCCTGAAACCACGCGGCAAAAGCACTGTAAATTACATGGGGATCAGTAGTGGGATCAGTCCCCCCCCATCCCCCGGTGCGTCAGAGGTGGGTCGGCGGCAGGGGGCGCGAGCGTTAGTTACCTTTGGTAACATACCTTCGGTAACCGCCGAAGGCCTCCGGCAAGGACACGGGCCCCGTGGCCGGCGCCTGGATTGTTTTTGGAATGAGTTCAGAAGGAAGAAGAGGAGGGATTTGCGAATGGAAGCGCTAGCTGCAGGAAGGGGACTGATGTCAACTAACATCAACTATATGAGGGCTGTGGCAGTTGCAAAGCAGGGGTGAGTCACAGGAGACGAGAAAAGTGCCGAAGATGCTTCCCAGAAAGAGGTGTGCTCAGGTGCGGGACATGTTTGGAGAGAGCTGTTTACCGCATGTTGTGTATCACGGGTTTATCTCTATTGTTTTTGGAATGAGTTCAGAAGGAGAAACAGGAGGGATTTGCAAGTGGAATCGCTAGCGG